CAAATAAGGGCTAAAGCAATTCTAACCTGAGTTGGGCTCTTTCCTCCATTCACCTAGCTGAGTTACCTACATTGTGTCATGTCACTTGATGTCAAAATTTTGAATTATCCCCATTTTACAAATGAGGGAAAATTGAGGTTAAATTGGTATTTCCTACCATCATTCCAAGCAGGACAAGTATTGCCCTGTTATGAAGTTTTCAACAGTATAGGAATGTAGAAAATAGACATTTAATAGTCACATAACAAAATATTAGCAGATTTTCCATGAACCAATCTCTCTCTCTCTCTCTCTCTCTCTCTCTCTCTGCGTCTCAAAAACAATTTCTTTTGACATTGGATCCTTTATATAATTTTAGTATTAAAATGTTTTTTCTTTTCTGAAATATTGTTGAAAAATGGCAGTGTGTTTTGCTTGATGGTTTATTTGTTCTAATGTCGAAATTTGTTTGTCACTGGTGTTTAATTTTATTCTTCTGTAAAATACTAAAGTTTGGAACCTCAGTGTTCATTATTTGCCGCGGTCCAGCCTCGGCAGTGCAGGGATAACCCGAAGGGAGGACAGAGTCGGCGATTAAAGAAAATACACTCACACCAGAGTCAGATGAGATGCTTGCCTTTTTTTTATTGCCACGCAAAACGCCCTTTTTATATTTTGTTTAACTCTTATTACACCATTGATTTTTCAACAAATTCTCATGGTTACATTAATGATTATCTAATCATATAACACAATATTATGAATGCTTTCTTTTTTCAGCCTTCTCATAACAATGGTTGCTCAATGTCCCCCTGCGGTTTTCTTTTCTCAAAACGTCTGGCAGAACTTTCGTTCTTTGTTTCAGGTCTTGTGGTTACAGTGAGCTAATACAATCTTAAAACACACAGGCTGTTCCGTCCTTGAGCATTCAAAGGGCCTAACTATTTTCCTGGTATAGTTCTAGATTCTTATCTAATAAAAAATTACCACTAGTTCACACAAAACTTTCTATATTCTAGCAAGGCATAAGCAATTTCTATCAAGTAACTTCTTTTATGCATAAATCTTAGGTTGCTTAGGAGGACATTCAACTTTTATATATATATGTTGCTTTCATGCAAAACATACTGGCAAAATATAAGTTGCCCTTTCCAAGCATTAATATCCATCTTCTCTTTTAATGTGGGCTGTTTCAATCTAAACATTCCCATGCTTGATCCTCTTTCCCATCTTGGAGGACGGGGAGTAGGTAATGGTGGGGGAGTTAAGGGGCTTTTTTGTCCCCCTGATGCTTCATCCCAAGGGGTTTTACTAAATTTCCATCGGGAATTACCATCTCCCAGGGACTCTACATGCCTTCCCCTAGGTTTTAATCCTCCGTCACCACATGCGAACAAACAAAGAAGTACACAGATCAAATAAATGTCAAACCCTTTAGTAATATTCATTATAATTCTATAAAGGCTGAGCTTCATCCGTAGACAACAGCTGTGCTGGTTCCCTTGGCTGTGCTCAAGGGATACTTGTCACATCCGGATGGCTCTCAGCAATTATTAGAGATAGTGGGAGATGGAGTTGGGACTCAAATTCATTTGCACGTGACTCCTGATAATTATTAAGGAAACCCCAGTATTAGAGTCTGCCCCACCATGGTAGGATTATGTATTTTTTCCTACAGGGGTAAATAATTAAAAGGGCTTGTCTCAACTAAATTTGTTGTTACTTTGCCTACTTTTGTGGCCATAATATAACATTTTGTCAGATGGTAGTTTGTTGCCCAAAGCACAGAAACAAACTGGTTATTCTGGTGGTGTTGGGGAAGATGTATATGTGAGAAAGAGCTTGTAATCACTTTAATAAAGATATGTTCATGGCTCATCCCATTTCATAATTTACAGATCCAGCTGTGGTCCTCCGTAGGTCACCTGTATAATTAATAGGTGAGCTGCACACTGAAGTAGCTGAATCTGTGCAGACTTTCCTGATCATTCTTCATATTTTATTACTTGAGTTTCTAGAAATAGGCACTATACTCATCAGGTTGAATTTTATCTAATTGAGAGAGTGTTTTGAAGGCGTGTACCTTCAGGAGTGCTTATATCTGTTGCCTTTCTGAGAAACACTAGGAATTTTATGAACCCCATCTCATGAAGTTTCCACAATGCCTGTGAGGTATACAAAAAATAAATTTAAAGGTTGTGTTCATTATAAGATCAAAATATCAAAAAAGTTTGGAGCTGTCTTCCAGCCATGTAATATCTTCTTTACTGTTGAAATTTAATAAGTATTCATTGTTCAGATGATCAAAGACTTGTCTCAAATAGTCAGCTGTGCTTGCATTAATGAAAGGACATACTCCACCATAAATCCCATGGTATCTTTCTCATGACAGTGACCTCAAGTAATAATTCATACACAAAAAACGGTTTGGGGGTCAAATAGATTTGGCAAATGGTTATATCATATCTCCTAAGAGATTTATAATGCATTTGTACACTACAAAGAAGTGGATTTCAAATTTCACTGTGCATTTGAATTGCTGGATTGCTGATTAAAAATGCAAGCCCTATATTCATAGGACTGGATTATCACCCAGGAGTATTATTTTTTAACAAGCACCTTATATGATTATGCGAGCAGATCATTCAAGACGAAAGCTTTAAGAAATTGTGTGTTAAAGGCTCTGAGAAGAACTATGTTAAATACCACTGTTTAATGTTCAGATAAACTTTTTCTCCAAACTTATGTGATTTATGAACTCCATTATTCCAAAATATATATTGGGAAACCTTACATTCTGCAGGTTACTTTCTGCATTCTGAGCTTGATTTAGTACATTTATTTTAGTTTTTTTTCCCCCAAGGCCGAAAGCAAGTATAATAAAAACAAAGGTCAGTTGTATTATTACAGTAAAAACAAAACAATTATAATATTCCAGGGAAATTTTAGTTTCTAGGTCTAACTCAAACCCGTACAACATAAAAAGAAAAAAAATTCTTAGGTAGTATAGAAGATTCCTCTGTGTAGATGCCTAAAATTCTTTGGACTAAGGCACTCAAGGTTTTGACTACTGATTTCTATTATTATAGTTATAGTCTTACTTTTCCACTATATTATAGGCTTATTTTGAAGAAGGGGCTATGCGCAACCATTTTGGAGCTTTTATCAAATATAACTAAATCTCATATGAAAAACTCAGGCATTTATGAAAATTCTAAAGGACTGAAATATTTTCATAGCCAATGTTTGTTTTATTCATTTATTATTTATTTAGTGATTAGATATTGACCACTTGCTATCTAATAGGCATCTAGCTGGGATCTAGGGCTGATACATGTAGCCTCTATCTTCAAGGAACTTACAATATATCAAAGAGTCAGACATGCATATATATATAAAAACATTAAGTGTGCTAATGCATTGTACCTTTAGAACAGGAGAGTGTGATGAGCCTACCTAGTGGTGAAAATGTTGTGCTAGGGAGGGAACAAGTAGCTGGTCTTCAGGATCGCCCAGTGAAGAGAGACTTTTATGAAGGTGGATGGAAAGAGCATATTACACAGACACAGAAGGGTAAAGTAACATGAGTGTTCAGTTAAGAGCCATGTAGTGTTCAGTTAAGAGCCATGTAGAGCAAGAATCGGGAGCATGTGCAAATGACTTTGCTCTCAGATTTGAATTGGAGTAGGTTAAATCTCATATGCAACTTCTTTAGTTATCATCCACTCCTAGAATTTATGGAAAGTTAGAGTTCAAAGCCAGCTTAGGTATCCTCCTTGTTTGACTTCAAAGAAAGAAACTGACTTGTTCAAGGTTAGAGTTACACAGTGGCCATGAACTATTAAACTCTCAGTCTCCATTTTATACGTTTTATACAGGGACAGGATTACAGAAAAATCACTAAAAAACAGTACATATTCTTACATTAAACAATTGTTAGTTACTTTAAAATGTCTTTAAAATAAAAAAGATGAAAATAAAAGGAAGAGATGAAGGGAGAATGAGAGGCAGTAAGGAAAGGAGGAGGGAGGCAAGGCAGACTAAGGAAGAAGGAAGAAAGAAAGGGAGGGATGGAGGGAAGGAAAATTCAATATTTTAACCTTGGTTAAAATGAAAAATGAAGGGCAACTGGAATATGCTGCCGGTAATTCATTTTCTTCAAGACTATTGAGGCTAATAAGATGAGATTTCCTGGTTAGTAAAATATATGATCTTCTTCCCAGAAATATAATCTTTTTTAAGATGTTGAAGTTTTTTGCTAGACAGATTGATGATGTTGACTGAAAACAAATAGACTGGCAGACATTTCTTCAGCAATGATGGGTTTGTTTGGGATCAGCAGAGAATTACAATTTGGGGTCTGCAACCATGGTGAGCAAGGTGCAAGTGCCCACAAGGCAAAGGAAAAAGAATTCTTTCCTAGAGGGGAAAAGAAAGTTGGAAGGGCTACAGTAAACAAAGAGTTCATAGCTTTGCATGGCTGAGTTGTTGCCAGGAGAGAAGAGGGGTCTTTCTTCGTTTTGTTCGTCTCTGCTATTGCTGCAAGGTGTGAGTCTGGTCTCCTGACTCTATTTAATTGTGATTCCAGTTTATTAATTTTTTACAACGATCATATTGTTTAAGTTGTTTCCTGGCTTGCAATATTGATGTCCGGCAGGCATAAAGACCATGGACATATTTAGATCCTAGAGTCTAGACACATCACGGATATAGAATATAGTAGTTTTGTAACTCTCTCCTTTTTAAAAATTTTTGCAAAGAAAGAACTTTCCATTGTAATTGAGCTTTTATTGTAGCAGCCGACTGTCATAAGCATCACTAATATTCCCAAATGGACTATGAATGCTTGCCCATTCCCTGGGATCCCACTAATGTTGTGATAAATTTGTCCCTAGCTTGCCCTTTCAGTTTGTCTCAAAGTGAAGGAAGTTTTCAATGGGAAGATTTCAAAGGAGATTTTCTATTCCCTCCCTTCATTTAATTTAACTTCATTGACCTATTTTCAATCGCAGCTTTTACAGGGGAGCACGACCTGTTCAATGAAGCACAAAGAAAATCCTGCAAGCAATGACACTGCAGAATCAGAACCTGTCCCACAGGTATTTGGTTTTGTTTGTTTGTTTGTTTTGATTGTCAGAAAGCACTTTTTGAAGCTGTTGGGTTCCATGATTTTCTCTCTTGCTTTAGCTAAAGCAGGGATGCTGTATTGCCTAATACAAGACACATCTTTCACCTATTGCCTCTGGACCTTTCCATGACCACTGTGCCTGCCACTAAGCTTTTGGTTTGATTTGCTGAGGTCCTAGAAGAACAAGGGCAAGGGAGCATTCTCACCCCTCCCCAGAAACCAAGAAGCAAAACAAAAGTAAACAGAGAACAAAAATTATACATATATTCTTTATAGGACAAAGAAGATAAAAAGAAGACTTGAGAAAGCAGAGAAGGAAGAAAGAAGTACATATCCCCCACAAAAACAAGTAACAAAGAAACAACTCAGGAGCTTAATTCTGAACTTCTATCTGGACTGTTCTGTATTTGACCAAACGTATTACATCATAGCAATTATTAGGATTCATTTTACTTAACACATTTTTAATCTGGGGATTAGATTCATCAGAGTTGAATGGTTTGACCAAAGTTTTCTCAAAATAGTTTTTGAAATATTGCCTTTTGTGGAAAATATTTTATGTGCTTTCAAGAAGTAGCAGTGTTGACATATTTACACTTATTTTCTGCCTGGCATTGGTCTTCTGTAAGATATTTGTTGAGGTACATGAGTTATTCTGTTAGGATTTTAATTTTTACATTCAACATTTTTATTTTGACTCTCCTAATTGTCTTTTCCGTATTGTTTGACAGAATGTGCCAGTGCCTCCTTGTACTGAATGTGAAGAGGAAAAAAACCCAGGAAAACAATTGACCAGCACTGAAGGGAAGGCAAATAGAGAAAAAAAATGACTGTAAATACCAAGAAACTGTATTAAAAACATCCATTTGCTATTGTCTTCATACTCTTTTTAGACCACAAGCTTGATGGAAATACTAAGTTTTTAAAGCATGCAACTTTTTCACAATTTTATGTAACTTTATATAGTAGTCTACAAATTTTCCAAAAGATTCCAGGCCAATTATGATCCTTAAGCAATAACCTAATTAAAATGGATATCCAGGCTTCCTTGGTGGCGCAGTGGTTGAGAGTCCACCTGCCGATGCAAGGGATGCTGGTTCGTGCCCCGGTCCAGGAAGATCCCACATGCCGCGGAGCGGCTAGGCCCGTGAGCCACGGCTGCTGAGCCTGCACGTCCGGAGCCTGTGCTCCACAACGGGAGAGGCCACAACAGTGAGAGGCCCTTATACCGCAAAAAAAAAAAAAAAAAAATGGATATCCACAGTCATACATCATCATTGTCATCAGTAAATTGCCCAGTATAAATTGGTCTTTTTTGAACTCAAATGCAATATAACATTTAATTCTTCTGGTTCATTTGGGTATCCAGTACTTCCATGATCTTGTTTTTTAAATCAGCTGGAGAATGATTAAATGTGGATCCTCAGCATTCTTAGAATCCAAATTGAAACCATATCATAAAGATTTTGGTCCATGCTGGTTCATTGGAGCCACTCTCCTCAAGGTTGGAATCTGTACTGATCCGAACATATTATTTATTTGAGCGTGTTCATTGCTATTCTCATTACTATTTAGAACCATGTCTAAATAATATCAAGGCAATTCCATCAGGGGTTTAGTCAATTAACAAAATTCTTTAAATATGTTTAGTATGATGTAGACAAAATATCAAGGAAGAATGACTAAATTTCTGACACAATTGATTAGATTTTTGGCATTCTATAGACACACCCCTATGGTTGTCTGCTGGCATTACTTCAAGCTATAAATCAAGCTGTTTGAAATGCTTAGTGTGATTTTTGGTACGAAATTGGGTAATGGGATGTGGGATGGGAAAAGAGGTCCAAAATACAAATATGCAAGCAGATAATATACATTTTAAAATGAGGATTTGATGAAAGTAAAATAGCCATGTAGAACTAATGAACCCCAATTTATATATTTTGAAAACAAATGTATTCTTAAAACAAATCAGTGGCTGTGGGAACCTTTGACGTTGGGACTGTACATAGGAATACCACTGATCAAATAAATTCACTCTTGGATACTCTGAACATACCTCATAAGCAAGATTAATTGACACTGATTGAAACAATGGGTATAGCATCAAACTTATAGACTAAAATTAATTGGTTAAATGATGCAGTTAGTTTGTCTGCACCAAATCTATTCACTTCTGCTGGTTAGACCCATTTTGTAGAAAGCATATAAAACCATTGTTTTTATAGACTAGATCTGCCAAGGCACAATTAATTTGGAGCACAGTATCCTGGCATGATCTGTAATTAATAGATGAACTTAAATTCTGGGATATGGTGGCACAACTTTGACCACAATGACATATTCAAAGAAATTTAGTGATCTGGAGAAATGCCAAACTGTAATTAACAGTAAAAGTGATACTGTTATATATTCATGTAGCAATTGTACTTGCTGAGTAATTCTGTGTCACTTATCAGTATTTTTTAGATTACAGGCTACCTAAGAAAGAGAACTAGTTTTATAGATGATTTAGAGGGTTTTCGGGTGAAATGACCAGGACAAAAGAAAAGATCAAGGTCTGAAGCTCCTGCTGACTCCTCAGCTCTAAAAATCATTTAATTCGATGAGATGGAATATTGCTAATTTCCCAGGTCCTATTCCTTGTAATTTCCATATTGTACCCAGAAACCCTAACCAACTCTAAAGATTTATGAAAGGGAAGCAGATAATTTAGTTTAATTTAGGTTTACTCTCCTACCTCCACCCATGGCTCCAGCTTCCCTCCCAGACCATATGGAGCCTATGGAAAGTTAATCACCATCTCACCTTAGCAAAGTATGTCTTGAGGAATCTTTGGAAATAATAAAAATAGAGTCAGGCTGATATTTTTCCGAAAATTTTAGAGGGTAACATGATGAAAGAGAATTTGGCTTAATATTAATCAAATTTGAACAGCTTCATCTATAAATTATTTTTTCTATGCTTTAAATTCCTATTCTACTACATGATAATATAATCAATTTTCTTCTCTTAAATACTGGCATGATCAAGTGGACTTTGAATGAATATAATGTACACATTTTTCTTTAACAATAGATAGCATTATGCATCCTGCAGAGTTTGCCGTGGTATATTCACTGCATTATTTGTTTAAAAACAAAAATAATTTGTAATAGAAGAGCTTTATAAATATTTTTAAGAAATATTCTGGGAGTCCTTTTAACAGTTAATCACAGAATTCTTTTCAGTATGTACTATGACTTGAGTTTAATGAATGCATTTTATTTCTCTCAATCCATTAATTGCTGAGGTTTAAAATGCTTTACAAACGTGTGGCTTTTGTCCGTAAGAAAGGTGGCATTTCTTATTATTTCTTTTAATTAGCTCCTATATAAATAGATGTTGTTTTTGAGGAGTTAACATTCATAGCCTAACTATCCTCATGTGGAAAAAAAAAATTAAGCAAAATGTTGAATGTAGATAGTACAATTCTATTATGTATTTGTAACAGTAAGCAGTGAAGAATTACTTACGCTTTGTCGAATATGAATGGATTCCTACTGAGAAACAAACACACTTTCCAGTGGAATAACTTATTTTAATATGAGTACTACCAGAACTAACAATTTATTTCTCTCTATTATTTTGAATTACTGATATATTCATTCTAAGTTGGGAATTGGTTTTGGACTTTGTGTTTCCTTTTATATGCATTAACTATGTAAACTAGTGCCTAAAATGTGTAAGACCTAAATTAAAGCTGACTGTGTCTATCCCATGCCAGCATTCTCAGGTGAAAAGTGAAAAATTGAGTAACTCATCTGGATGTGGTTTTCTGTGTGATCTCAAATCTCTGAATACTGAATATCTATGGCTAACTAATTTGTTTTTCATTCTTTAGTCGTATATTTAGCATTGAAGTGCTATTTGAGAGGCATTTCTGTTTCATACAGTATACTGGATTAGAAGTCTGAGACAGTTGTATGTGAAGGAGACATTTACTGCTTTAGATGGACAGTGTGGATAGCTGGATTAAAATAATATTTGTGAACTTTGCTATAATGGAATCTTTTATTTTTGCAGCTCAGGTACTGTAATTAGCACTACTTGAAGTAGAGGTTGAAATTATCAGTGACACTAGAGAGTAGGGTAAACTGGTCAGACATAGAGTAATGACAATATACACTTGTTTACTTAGGAGACATTTTCTTAGTCATGTATACAGTCTTAAATTTCCCCAAACTATTTGTTCATCTGGGTTACGTTATATAATATCGATGGTCAAGTGATGAAGAATAAAAGGTACTGAAAAATGGCCTATTTTTGCTCAATAAAGGTTTGTTTCCAAGACTACTATGTATATGATCTACCTAAACTAATTGAAAAACACACATTAACTTTTAAAATAGTACTTGCTTCTGTGTTTCATGATCTAAGAACTTTTTTGAAATGTCATCCTGGAAATTTCTTCAATCTCTCTTTGCCACTGTCCCAGAAAACCCTTATTTTATTTAGTGTTTTGTTTTGTTTTGTTTTTTAATAGAGTTCCAGTCTATTTGTTTGCAAATGAGTCTCAAGTGCTTAGAACCAGCTGCCCCATAGTAGGTGCTTAAATATGTGCTGAATGAATTCAGAACCTGAAGCATCAATGGAAGAAGTAAAGAAAGCAACAAGGTAACACATTCTAGTATGATAACAGGAAATCATAAGACATAGTCTTTTAGGAAAAGAAAGTAAATATCATGTTTTTGTTTTTGTTTGTTTTGATTTTAGGTTATTTTTCCTTTGCATTTTGCTATTGGGCTTGTGTCTGTGACTAAACAGAGTAGATATGGCACTCCTGGATGAATTTTGGAATGCAGCTCAATGTCATAGACATAATTCACATGGCACATATGTGACTTTAATTGGAACCCAGATTGGACATTCGCCTGAACCTGTACAAGTCACTCGATTTCTTTTAGTATAAGTTTCTAAGCTCTTAGACCTTAAGTGGTTGGGCTAAGATTTTCCTCTCCATTCTGCTGAGCCCTAGTTTTTTAGCAGACATAAGCCAAGGGCTGCTGAGAAGGTAAATGAATATCTAGAGGATGGGGCTCACTACTAGAGGATCTATACTTTTATATAATTTATTTGTTGGACTTACACATTCTGCATATACTTTTAGTGGTGAAAGGAAGTCCAAGTCTAAAGTGATTTGAAAATCACTGAATAACATAATCTTGATGATCTCCTTTCTCCCTTTGTTCATTCAGTCAGCCAGTCATTCAGTCATTCAATAAATATTCTTTGAGATTCTACAATGTGCCTGCCATTCCACTTCTTTTGAAGATCCAATAGTAAACAAAAATAGTAATTATGAATATTAATGTTGTGCTTAATATATACCAGCCACTGTTTTTTTTTATTATTAGTTAAATAGTCTGAGGATTATTTAAGATAGATATTACAGTTATCCCCCTTTCACAGACGAGGCAGTTGAGGTAGAAAGTGTTAATTGAATTGCCCAAGATCACACAGCCTGTAAGAGGAAGAAGTAGGATATAGATCTGGCAATGAGTTTCTTGAATCCATGTGCTTAACCATTTCACCACACTGTCTCTCCTGCGAATGCCAGAGTCCTGCTTTCATGGAGCTTACAGTTTAGAGAAAGAGACAACCATTAATGAGGGAAGTACACAGAAAAGTGTATGACTGCTACACAGGGTTCTCTTTACAGCATACCATGGGGCAGGGGTGGGGGTGTGAATGTATCATACCTGTGTGAAGTTCTCACTTAGAAAATGGTATTAAACTAATATTAATGAATATATTTTGCATGACTGTCCAAATCTTCAAAAATAAATTT